ACACTTATCGTTCTCGTTGCTTGGAGAACAGTTGCGTGTTGTAGTTTGATATGGGTTGATAACTGTGTTTTTCCTCTTCCTTTCCATTTGTTTAAAAAGAGCAGTTTTACAGGAACAGATCTGTGAAGTTTTAGGCATGCCAGTGTGGTAGCAGGGTGTTGCCTTCATCTCCGGAGTGTTTTGGAAGAGAAGTCCTGTTTGGTGTTCCAAAGTTACAGTTCCTCACCATAAACACCAATAGCTCAGTCTCAAAAGGTTTGAACTCTGCTTGAGTTTATTAAAGAAAATGCTCATTCTTGCTTCTCTGACGGAAAGATTGAGTCAGTAAAATTTAAGGGAACCGCACAAGTATGCAGACGTACTGCGGGGCTGTGTTCAGGGCCGGGGGCTGTTTCTCCCTGGTTGCAGGGGATAAATCAGAGACTTGATAAAGAAAATCCGGTGTTTCAGATGGGTGATGCTTTGGACAAGCAATATCTGTAACGGCAGTTGAGTTATGGATTAATCAGCAGCACCTAATACAATCTAAATGAGGTCACGTAAGAACAAACTGTAAGTAGAAGAAAGCTTGCCCTTACATGACGGGTAACTTGTTAACTGACTGCAGTCTGGAGTTGCTGATTTATTTTTTTTTTTCTGTACAGAGTTAATTTCCCAGAGACATGAGGCTTTGACCGGCTAAGTTAGTTGCAAAGAATTTAAGATTGCGCAATACAAACCACCTTTCCCTAGAATTAAGAGGTTGAGGTGGTGACTGGTATTTTAACAGCAGTCTGTGAGGGGCCGGAGACTTGGGCAGGACTTGAACCTGCACCAAATGCTCGGGGACTCTGTTGGATGATGTTTGGGTGAAGAAGTTTTAACGCAAGCACTGGTACCTGAGCTGAGAAACGTACAGCAGGGGCTGTAACACTAATTTCCTGGCGTTGCCTTGCCACTACTATTTATTTTCTATTATTACTATGGTGGAAACTTGGAACAAATCTTGTTTTGAGACATAAGACGTTATCCTGGCCCAGAGGCAGCCCGGCCTCGTGTATCTGTCCTGTGTCATCTGGGTTTTGTTCTCCCTCAGTTGTCAGCCTGCTGGGAAGCACTAGACAAGTCCTGTTCCCTACAGAGACCCTGTTTCTCTTCTGTGCTTTTGTTCCTCTCCTCTCTCTAGTCTGTCAGATGTAAAAAGCAAAGAGAGTGTGCTTTATATTTGCAAACTGCTCTGCATGGAGGGCTGTGCTCTGTGTATTATAGGTACTGGAGTAAATAAATCAGTGGATGGAAGTCAAGGTAGCCTTTTTTTTTTTTTTTTTTTTTAATTTTTTTTTTTTTTTTTTTTTAAGAAAAAAGTAAGTGTTCTTGGTTCTGATACACTTTTAATTTAACATTTTTCTTTTTGCTTTCAGAGCTTTACAATGGAAATAGTGCAAGCCTGTCAGGAATGTGCACATTGTATTACAGCCTTGCCAGAACATTTCTAAGACCCAGAGACAGTGTAGTCCATGAGGGTGCTCTGCCACCTACCAGCTGAGGAGAACAGTAATGTCGTTGTTAATGTCAGTTGAGTTTTAAGTACATTAATGTTTTTCTCTTACATGTGAAAGAGAAGGCAGTTTTCACATAGTTCTTTAAATGCATTGCAATCCACGATTCTGCTTCCAGGGTTTAGGAAACCTCTTCTCCAAAAGAAATATGACAGGTTTTCCCTAAGACGTGTTTCAGTATCAGATTATTTAAATTTTAACAGAGACTTTTGGAGAACAGTATATTCCTTCAGTTCTTACCATTTTTCAGTCGCTTCAAGGATGTGAATTAGCGAGTTTGGTCTTAAACAAAACAGACGTGCAGAGTGTGAGCCATGGCAGAAAGGGATTGGAGGGCACCCAAGGCAGGGGCAAAAGTCCTGTCACTGATCTGTCACTTCTCCGGGGAGCAGCAAAAGCTGCAGGTAGCGTCAGGAGATGGAGGAGGGACCTGTGAGCTGCAGTGTCATCCTGCACCTGCCCCAGGCAGGGACTCAGTGCTTGCTGCTCTTGTTTCCAAGCCAGGAGTTCTTACCTTGGTCTTCTAAGATGCTGAAATTATATCTCCTGTTATTTCTGGTAGCATAGTGAGACAAAAAATCTTCACTATATTGTCAATATCACTATAAATCACAAACAGGTAGGGTGAACGAGAGGAATCAGCCGCAGGTTGTGCCAGGGGAGGTTTAGGTTGGATATTAGGAAAAGTCTCTTCCCCAGAAGGGCTGTCAAGCCCTGGAACAGGCTGCCCAGGGTCGTGGTGGAGTCGCCAGCCCTGGGGGTGTTCAGAAGCCGTGCAGGTGTGGTGCCTGGGGACGTGGGTTAGTGGTGGCCTTGTCAGTGCTGGGCTAATGGTTGGACTCGGTGATCTTAAAGGTGTTTTCCACCCAAACGATTCTGTTATTCTGTGAAATAATGGAGCAAAGGAGATCTTGGGAAATACTGGTATAGGAAACCCAGAGCGTATTTTCATTGATATACGTAAACCAAAGCACAACTGTTATTTAAATCCTATGCATAGCTGTGAAAAGTTAGAGCCAAATTCTCGTTGTAAATCAGGGTGGCTCGATTAACTTCAGTGGAACGGTGCCAGCACACCCCAGACAGAGACTTGGCTCCCTCTATTAATAGCCACAGCCGGGTAATAGAGCTGCTTGGAGAGGTTCCACTGGAACAAAATTCTGATTATAAAAACGGAGATAAGAGCGACAGAGGAATCTGCCTTCTGGTTCTCTTGTGGAATGTGGCTCCCCCGGGGTTTGATCCCATGCACCTCCCTGCACTGCCAGAGACCTCCGAGCTTGCAGAGCCCGGTGAGACCCAGCAGTGTCTGCGCTGGCCCCGGGTTCCAGGTGCTCCGGTTGCTTCGGTGATGTGACAGCAACTGTGCTGCTGTCGGATCCTGCATTTGGTATCAGTGCAATCATCCTCTCCACTGCTTTTCTTTGTAGCTTCGGAAAATACAGTCTTCCTTTCACTAGATATCTAAGGTTTTTATTTCTTTAAATTCTTCAATACACCGTGTTGAAGGGACGGGGAATGTTGTCATCGGCCATTGATGCTCTGTGTTTCCTATGTGACTCTGTTATTCATGGACGCATAATTAAATTTCACAGCTGCATTTCAGATCCTCTCTAAAGAGACAGAACTTCTGCAGGTGTCCATGAGTTGGTTTCTTACTGAAGTTTCAAAAAAAAGCCCAGCAGAAATTCCTACTGTGCAGTGTTACACTGTTTTCATTTCCCAGAAACCAGTTAATTTATTTACTGTGCCCCACCAGTCCAAGTTCCCTTTATAGATTAACTTGTGTGTTTTGGCTCCTATCCACCTCTTGCTTTGGCTCCAAATGAATGATACCAGGACTGTCTTTGAAACAAGGCAGGAATGTGAAGTTTTTTGATTAAACAGCAGCATCACCCCTGAAACCTCTCTTTCTGCCAGCTTTGAGGCCCCGCTGCAGAAGTACAGTATCGGGAATGGCAGATTAAGGTGAGTTCAACCTTTTTGAAGAAAACAGATGTGTGATATTCTGATAGGACTTGGAAACAGTTTGCATCTCCTCAGAAGGTGTGTCACCGGGGCAGCTTGTCACCAAAGGTTTTCAAGACTGTTTATTTGCTTTCTTTTAGTAACTGATCAGTCTTTAGAACTGGTTTAAATGAGAATTAGTAAACAAGGTCACTGACTAGCACCCCTCTGGCTTGCCAGGTTCAGCCTTTTATCAGGGGCTTGTGCTGGCCCTGAGTATGTCAGGGGGGTTGAAGCTGACAGAGGTGGTTGAGGGGGTCACGCTGTGAGCGTGACCATCTCCTGTGTGGCTTCTGTTGGCCTCCGGAGCGGGCTGCTTGTAGAGATCTCCTTTGTTCAACTGAACCTGCACGCATCATGTGTAACAATCGGGGAGTCCGTGTGCTGCTGATAAACACGGGCCGTTTTCTAGACTCTGCAAAAACTGTGTATTTGTTGGACGTGAACTGTAAGCTGGTGCTTTTTCTAGTACATTTGGTATGTTTGCAGGAGAGCTCTTAGCATCAGCCATGAAAATATTTGTCTGTCTTTTAAAATCTATAATTTACTGGCAGCAGAATCTCTCATCGAGATACTCTCGATCTCTCATCAAGCCACTTTCTGTGAGCCTCTGGGAAAGGTTCCCCAAGATGTGTATTTTTGAGGACAGATGGAAATGGCATGGAAGCTCACTTAACAAACCATTTTCATCACATTCATGAAATAAAGTATGGCTTCGTCCTGGTTTCTCTGAGAAACAATAGAGGCCTTTAAGGAGGGGGGACAAGGCTGATAAAGCTCATTATAATTGTGATTTCTTCCTATTTGATAGTTCTGCTTGTTCGCTGCAGTTATCCATGGACACTGGCATGTCCGACTAGTTGTCCTTGTGCTCATATTTCCACGTGAGATTGAAAGGAAACGTGGAGGCATGAGTGGGGCTTGGGGGACACTTTGTGTAGTGTCATTGAGGCCACACAGTTGCCAATGCTCGTGCTGGTCGGATCCAGCCAAATGAGAGCGAGCGGTTGGGAGTGTTCTTGGAAGCGCAGCTCTGAGTCACGGGGAGGCCTCAACCGGGCAGGTGCACGCTGCGCTGAAGCACCTCCAGGATTAGGCAGCATCAGAGCTGGGATTTTCAACCCCTCAGATTTATTTCTAGGCAGATTTAGAAACTAGTTTTGATTCTGATCTTTGATGGTTTGCAATCATAATGGGAGGGCATGTAATGGTATGTATAGGCTTTGGATTTCATGAAGATTTAGAGAACTCTTGTTATTAAAGATAGTTGCTCTCTTTGTGATAGAGGAAATGCTAAGATCCTGATAATTACTGAAGCCAAAAAATTTACTTCTAGCTACTCTAAATACTATTTTTAAATTCTCATCTTGAGCGTGTGTGTGATGCTCGCTGCCTGATCTTCCCAGGTGTGATCAGAGTCCTCCCACTGAGTCTTTTTCACATGTTTCTTTTTAGGATCCTCTAGACCTTACTGGAATGCACCTACAGAGAAAAATGTGCTTTTCTAACAACTCGGCTATGGACATGTAATCAGACTTTGATCTCTGGAAATGCTACAACATGGCTTCATCTGGGAATGAGATAGAAAGATGGACTCACAGGCAAGGTGGCAGAATTGGAGAGCTGGAAGAGCCCATGAGTTCTCTGGAAAATGGTAATTGTCTTTCGCCAGTGAAGTCCATCAGCAGTGTAGAGCATCTCTTGCACCTCCCCGGAAGAGCAGACTCTGCTTACAGCTCTTTCTCAGGGGGATCAAACGTTCCAGAGTATCCCACCCCATCGTGCTATGGCGAAAACTGCTGTCTGCCTCCAGAGCAGGTACCGTACATGGACTCGGAATACGTAAGAGGTATTTACAATGTTAGCGCAGCAAACTCTGACCCCAGGGGCCTGCATCCCTACAGGGCACCAGAGCTGAGCATCCCTAATAACTCTGAGAGCACCGGCCTGGCTGAGCGCTGTGGAAACACCCCTACCCCAGGGACTTCAAATCAGGGGCCGCCGCCTGCAGCCGCGCCTCCACCTTCTCCTCCCACGCGACTCGATAGCTATAAAGTCACCAGACACCTTGAAAACTCGAGAGGGAGACGCAGTGAGGGTGGCGTGCAGCCAGCTCCCGGCCTGCAGGACGGTCAGCTGGCGGGTGGGGATGCACCGAGGAGTCAGCATGGGGATGAAGTTACAGAGCAAGATAGAGTGGCTGCTAGGGGGAAGACTCTGGAAAACAAGGGCAGTTCTTCTGATCCTACAAACGAGGTATCTGTACCAAAAATTCCAGGGTTAAAGATGGAGGAAAATGGAGAGTGGAGCCCATCCCAACAACCTGTGAAGAGAAACAATCCCCATATTTTCAGCAGACCCTCTTCATTCATTTTTCAAGAATATTTAAAGACTGACTCTGTGGGTAATGTCCCTAAAATACTTTCTGCTTATAATTCAGTTCATGCTTATAAAATTCCCGAAGAGATGAACTCCAGGTCCTCCCCCCCAGTGCATACCAGCCCTGACACTGTTAATGATACACAAGAAGACAAACAGTATTCCTGCAGCGTTCCTAAGCCAACTGTCAGGGGAGTGGGGCCAGAACCTCGCCAGCAGAAAGGATCCGTGCCCTGTGCTCAGGGCCCGCTCCCTGCCGAATCGCGTTCAGACGCGGATCAAGATGTGTTTGAGGAGAGTTGTGACTTAAAATACATGGAGGGTGCTCTTCTAATTAAAAATGCTTCCAGGAAGATGAACAGTTGTACAGATGAAAATCAACACGATGACTCTGACGGGAAAATTGGGAGTGATGTTAGGGAAGTGCTCCTGGATCCGCAAGCCAAAGCGCGGAGATCGCCGCTGTCCTGCAGCTCCGGCGCTGTGGGAGCGGAGCCCCCTCGCCGTGAGGAGCCTGAGCAGGGAGATAAGCAGTGCTGTGAGAATACGAGCCAAATGTCTTTTTTCAGACCAAAGGAAGATTCTGCATCTCAGTTCTTACATGAAGTCAGGAAAGAAAAACAGGCTAATAAGAGCAGTCCTGAGCTTAGCATGCATCTAGAACAAGAGGAACCGCCTGTTCGCTATCAGAAATATCAACCTGAATTTCAAAAGCAGCTTTTAAGAGAGCTTCAGGGTGATCTGGCTGGTGAACAAATAACCAGGCAGACGACTCCCATGCTTTATTATCTTTCTGGGGGGAAAACCACCAACATCCTGCACCACCACAAGCTCACCCAGTGTCAGGAGGACTCAAGGAGCTCCCCAAAGGAATTTCCAGTGAGCAGCTACTCTGCCTCAGCGCGGTGTACAGAGATACAGAGGGAGAACAATCTGGTTGGAAGAGCTCCCCACCACCGTCAGTGCAGTGCCGATGATCTCCCGCTCGAGGCAGAAGATCTCATCCTCGGGAGTCCAGCTTCATCCACGGATGAGAGTTTCAAGAACGACTATAGAGAGAAGCTTAAAGTGGCTCAGAAAAAGGTTCTGAGAGAAACCTCCTTTAAAAGAAAAGACTTGCAGATGAGTTTACCTGTTAGACTGAGACAGAAACCCTCTAAAAGGCCATCAATTGAACACCTTAGGTCTTTCTCGTTATCCAGTGCCAGTGAGAATGCCATACCTGTTCCTTGCTTCCCTTCTCATCTAGAATCCTTGGAAAGTTTCAGCAGAGATGAAGAAATTACAAGGCCACAAACAGGTCGAATAGGGGGAAGGAAAAGGGTAACAAAGGAGCAAAAGAAGCTGTGTTATTCTGAACCCGAGAAACTCGATCAGCTAGCAGATAAGGAAGTGTCATGGAGCCAAGTCAGGGATGAAATCACTGAGCAAGATGTAGTGGCAGCCAGGAGAAGGACTCTGGAAAACAGAGGGAGGGCACTTTCCAGTTCAAGTATCTCCAGGACGGAGCTGAAGCAAATCCAGCAAACTGCACTTATTGAATACATGGAGCGAAAGATTAATCAAAGACCGGGTAGCTCACAGCACCTCCCGCTGCAGAAGCCACCGCTGCAGAAGAGGCTGTCCCATCCCAAATGGCCTCCTGGCAAGATTTCCAATCCAAACGGGAGCAGGAAGCTGCAAAACAATGAGGTTTTCTGCCAAGTTTTCTCTGAAGAAAAATTGCCAGATGTTTTTCCTCCATTGGCGTTTGTTTCCCCGCTGAGCGTGAGCAGCAGGTGTGATCCCAACTCTGCTGGTACCATGGCCTCGAAGCATCACCCGTCTGCCAGCGGAGCGGCCGGGACCTGCACTGGCAAGTGTGTGTCAGCTGAAAGTCCCCTGCAGGCAGGTGATCCTGCATCTGGGAGAGCTCCAGAGAGATCGAAATCCACGACTCCTTCCACACAGGTGAGAGAGATTCAGATAGTAATGATTGCTTGAGTCCAACTTAAAACTGTCTACCTGTTTTAGAGGGCTGTGGGGCAACACACAGGAAAAACTGCTGAACATCCCGAATGAGGAATTAAAGCTTCATTATTTTTTTTTTTTAATCACATAGTAGGGAGATGATAGAAGGGGGGAAAAAAAGCCACATTTGCTTAATCTGTAGGAAGCGCTGTGTAGCTGTGCCTTGCTTTGTAGCATGCAGGAGAAATAATTTGGGGGAATTCTGAGAGAAGTGCTACCAGTTTTAACAGGTTACGTATTTATGGTTAAGCATGACAATTCATTATTCTCCAAAGTGTTTTGTAAGAAAGTATTGCAGACAAACGAGCTGTTCTTTAATGCGCAAAGTTGTAAGAGAATTGCGTAAGCATGGAAACTTCCTAGCAGCTGACCGAAATGCTGAGTCTGGGCAGAGTCACTTGTTACCTCCCAGCAGGGCAGAGGTGAAGGCAGGAGGAAGGGGAAGGGCCCTGTCTGCGCCCAGGGCCAGGCGGTGCGAGGGCCGTAGGCTCCGCTCCAGGGCTGGACCACGCCAGGCACGCAGGGTCCCTTCCAGCACTTGCAGAGGGGTGTGGGGGGGTCTGGCGCTCAGAAATCCCATTTGCAGAGAAAATGATGCTGTGTTTCAGCAGTCGCTGTTGTAACTCCAGCAACTTCATCAGAGCACTGTCCCGGGAAAAGATTTTACAGAGAGATTTTTATATTTGACCAGCCTTTTTGGCTCCTGAATTTGAAGGATGGTAGCTGTCAATATAGAAGATAAAAGGGTCAGAAAACAAATAATCTAATACACTACTAAAATTACCCAGCTGAAGAGGCTGGCAACAATTCAGAAAGTAGGCAGCATTTGTGGAAGCTTGAGTCGAAATACATATTTTCTTGCTAGCTGATCTTTTGGATTCCTAGGGAAAGGACGTGGATGCTGGCTAGGAGGAGCGCAGCAGCCAGTCGGTTAATAAAAGGAAATAAACACACTCAAAACTAAAAACCTCAGGGGATGTGCGGTTGGCCTCTGTTTCTGGGGGCAACAACCGGGAGTGGGATGTGGGGTGCGCGGTGCGGGGACGCCGCGGGTCCCAGCGTGCGGTTCTCGTTGCAGGGCGCGGCCGGACGGGCGGGCGGCGCGGCGGCCCCATCGCGGCGCTGCGGGAGCTGGCGGGGCGCCCCCAGGTAAGGCTCAGCCCCACCGGGGTGAATCCGCCCGTGGGCCTCGGGATCCTCCCTTGTCCGGTACGGGAATATTGATCCGCTCAGCGGTTGGTTTCATTTTGGGACAGTTGTTAAACCCGTTTCTAGTGTGTGGAGCGAAAGGGGAAGATGCGGAGTGTACCTGAGCCGCCGCCCCTGCGGCCCCGCCATCCCTGAGATCGCAGCTCCCTCCTCCGAGCTCCGGCGGGAACGACATCCCATAGGGCCACTCTTGAAAAAAAAATGTGTGCTCAGCGTGGTGTAATAAGGGGGGGTTTGGTGTAGGTTTTTTTTTTTTTAAAAGGAAATATTGAGCCACTTACGCATAGCTAACCAGAAAGTGTGTGTTAACTCTCAGTATTTGTTTTGCTTGTTCGAGCAGCGTTGGGGAGAAAAAAATCTTGAACTTTGTGTTAACAAGGCATGGACACTTGTGTAGGAATAGAATTTCCACTGTTTCAGTCATTCACAAAGATCCCAAAGGTTTCTGGAGGCTTGTTTATCTTGGGGAAAAAAAAAAAAACCCTGTGTATTTAGTAAGATTTTGAAGTTTTTCTTAAATTTCCTAGTCTAGCTGAGAGCTTAGCAGGTCACTACGACTGTAACTGGAAGTTCTGGATAGAACAGTAACATCGGAAACATATTTGGTCACAGCTCTAGAATAGGTACGAAGTTATGAAAAGATGAGAAATCCATAACTGGTTTCATTAGTAATGACTTTAGATTATCATCTCTGGGAAATAGCTGCGAGTACAGGTTTCATTCAGTTACAGCGCTCTCTCATTTTTTCCTCTTTGTTTTCCTCCACAAGAAAGTGCTGTGGAGCTGTGGTAGAAAATCCAGACTAGGCTGGGCATGTCTGCAGGATTAATTACTCAAAAGTTCCAACCAGGACCAGCAGGAAGAGCAAGCTGTGATTGTTACCCAAACCAAGAGTGTCTGTGGGTGACTGAAAAAAACCCCTTGAGGACGTTCTTATGCATATTTTGCACCCATTCAATTGCACGATACAAGTTTGAGGTAGTTTCCACCGATATTACCCATTTTCTGTGACAGCTGCTGCAGGTGGTTGGTTTGAGCCTACAAGCTGGTCCTACCCCCCGTCACGGCTGTGAGGCCTGAAAATGAGTAAGAATAAGGCCTGGCAGTGTTTGCAGTGAATTCCTGAGGTGTCTCTGTATCTCTTCATCGTCTGTCGCTCCATGAGCACTTGTCAGTCCCCGCTCACAGTATTGCATCATCATCACGTTAACGTGGCGCTGCCGTGGCGTTTGGCAGGGGGTATTTTTAGTACCTTTTCATTGGAAAAGCTTTTCCAGCGTTAAGGGCATCACTAAATCACCAGAACCAGGTGGTTCAAATCAAGGTCAAATGAGGGGTTTAGTTTTAATTGCAGTGAAAAGTGCCTGTAATAGATATCTCTAAGTGTTACTATCTAGTACAAACTATGATTAAATTTTCCTTTGCCAAGCTGACTCTTTTTTTTTTTTTTTTTTCTTCATGAAAAGCTAAAACGAGTGCGTTAAAGCTGCAGAGTAGAGCTGGAGGAAGGAAAACTATGGGAGAACTAGTCAGGCTTCCAGTGCAGAGCCACAGCACAGCTCAGTCTGGCCCCATGAAAAGCTTCGGAACTTGCCAGTGCCTGCTCGAGCCGGGAAAGGGCTCCGGAGCAAAGCAGCCACGCTCCCCCCAGCCCCACAGCTGCGGCAGGAATCCTGCCTGGACAAGCAGCAGCTGGAGGTAGTGTGGGGCTTGTGGGTCCAGGGATTCGGAAGCTTTTCTGGCACAGCAGCCTGCTGGTGTTTTCTTAAATCTGGAATCTACTCTGCGGGGGGACCACAGGCTCTGCTGTGAGGTGTCCCTTCTCTTCCTCACTCTATGCTGGTCCCGGCTCCTTCAGGAAAAGGAAATGTCTCTTTGTTATCCGCACCTGCGGAAGACACCCACCACCCACGGAGACAGGGTTAATTACTGCCTTCGGGGAGGGAAGGACCGGTTCTCTCCCAGCTGTGTTGGTTTTGTATGTGACCCTAGAGAAGGAGCTAAAAGGTGAACAAAACCTGCCCTGAACTCTCTAGGTCTGTTTTGAGGGAGAATAATTTGCTTTGTGCCTACAACTTTGAAGCGTATAGGCCAGGTTAACATAGTTCAGTGGGGGCTTATAAACCTTCCTTCCATCTGATCCCTCTAGCTTTCCTCTCTACCGTCCCCTCGTAATCCTGTTAGGTTATGAAAAATTTTGCTAGAGGTAAAAATAGGTTTGTTGAGTCATGATAAATCCTGTAGTATTTCTGCATCCAGATGTACTGACTGTTTTCACAAGCAGTTACACAGATGCATTCAGTGATTGCAGAAGATGGTCTGTGCGTACTCCAGTCATCTCGCGTTCAACAGTGCCCCTGTCTTCTTGAAAATTCTGGTCCAAAATGTATTTTAAAATTACATATATTTACTTATTCTGTCATCATGACTATAATTATAAAAGACAGTAGCTTTTCCCATGAAAGTTTCTTCTGAAGCGTTGCATCAGAAAACTCAAAGCACTGGGTCAGATTTGCAATGGCCAACTCAAAAGTAGAAGTTTTTTCTCAAAATGGTTAATTGAACGGATTTAATAAAACTTTTACTTGAGCCTAATGGCCATTTCAAAGCAGAAGCCTCAGAGGAACGATGTTGCCTGTGTGTTGGTGTTCAGTTTGCCTCGCAAGAAGGAAGCACTAGATGCCTTCTCTAAGAAGGACCGAGAGGTGACGCACAGGAGATGGCGACGGCGTAAACCAGGTCTCACTCCTGGACTGAAACGTTCTCTCGAGAGAAATAATGTGCAAGGAAGGAGATGGTGAAGATTTGCCCTCTGGCAATGCAGGTGCTGTCACGAGAGGGCTGGTGAGGATCGTCCCCCTCGGTTACTGCCGGGCGGGTCCCAGATGTGGCCTGAGAAAGGTCGTGGCCAGCCCAGGTCCCCGCGAGCGTCTTGTCCCCTTGGCCACGTGCTCACCAACCCGCTGGGATGGCTGCCTGCTCCTCAGCCCTCTGGCACACACCAGCAGTGTGACATTTTAGGGCGCTTTTTACTGCAGGTTTATTTCAGAAAACACGTGTGTTGGTCATAATTAGAAAATGAGCAATTTAATGGGGATTCAAACAACGTGGACTGGTGCAGCTAGACATTTTGCTTACTCCCTTTTTTCCCCCAAGCAAAATTAATGGATATGATGGAAGCTGAATTTTAAAAACTTTAATAAAAAGAGAAAGCTGGAAAGATCTGACAGTTACCTGTAGCTTCTTAAATAGTCTGCAAAAATATCTATAGGAGAGGAAGTGTTTCAAATAAAAGGAAGTGTCATCTTTCTTACAGTTTCCGTGATCCTGAGAAAGGTGGATGCGAGAATCACAAACATAAAGACAGGGACATAATTGGAGGTGCATGTTGTCAGGATACCAAGGAGCTGACTCCTGAAGCCTCTATTCCTGTCCCAAGCAGCAGAAGCAAGGAGGATGCTGAGGTGGAAGAGGAATGTGAAACTAAATCTCTGAATGACGCTTTAACAAAGTGTTCGGAGCAGCAGCTTGCAGCTTCTCCTGAGGAGGTAACACACTGCCACACAGCGTCAGCTCAGCCTTGCCACGGAGCCAAAAATACAGCCAAAGCTTTAGTTGCAAAGGAAACATCCGTGCACAACAGCCAAGAGGATATTCTCCCCAAAAGGGAGAGAGATCCACCCAAAAGGAGACTCCAGTCTCCTGAAGACCAGCGATACGAAGCACTTGCTATGGAGATTGTTGCCAAAGACAATTCTCTGGTTGATATTCTCATGCCTCACCCTGTTAGAAAAACTGCTTTAGACCTGATGGAGGGGCTGTTTCCCGTTAACATTTCCGTGCTGGATAAATCTCACAGGAAAAAGGGAGACGCGCAGCGTGCGCAGGGGAACGAGTAAGTAAACAAAACCTATTATCTGGTATTTTCAGCTGTTTTAGTGTATGGCATGTATGTACTAGTAGTAAGATGAGTTAAGCATATGGTTTTATTTTTGTTTCATTAGCAAAATATTTCTGTTTTCTGATTTACATATCAATAATATCTGATGCTGTGGGTATACAATGGGAGAAATGTGGTTCAGTGATATCTTATTAAAAGGGACCATGACAAACTAGGCTGCAACTCTTTTGCTCTATTTTAAAAAATTAGAAAAATTACTGCTGTGAGAAGAGAGGGGAGTGATTCTGTAGTCAAGATGGCTAAAACCATGTTTGAGAACAAACCTGTGTTTGCCACGGGTCTTTCCCTTCTGTTCCAATAGCAGGAAAAATAGTAGAGATGGACCAGAAGAGCATCCTGAATCTGAACACGATGCCAAGCAAAGGAGTGAAGATCCTACCTCAAAGGGAAACCGAGTCCTGAACAGGATCAAACACAGCACAGACGACCTAGATGACCTCACGTCTAAGAAGGTATGTAATGACCATCAGAGGAACTGCTGTTTCTTCACCATGACAAAGAAGTTGTTATTAATGTGACATATATTTTTATTCATGACTTATCGCAGTCATAACGTTTCACGAATAACTTTGAATCCATTTTTTGCCAGTAGGTGAAGTCCTGGCAGATTGGCATGTTGATCACAAAGGGAGGTATTTAAATGCTGCCTGGTTTGATTCAGATCTCCCCTCCCACATTCTTCTCTTCAGCAGGTCACGGGGATGGGTTGTACCTGGAACAAGCACGCAGGGTTGGTTACACATTCCCTTGCAAGGTCAGCTCCTGTGCGGCAGCTGGCTCACAATTTAACACTCAAATCTGGTCAGAAAATCTGTAAAATTCATTACCACTGGCAACCTAAATGAGAAATAATTTTTTATTCTGAGAGAACCATCGGCAGTTTCTGCACACTGCAGTGCCCTGTTAATTTCCACACGTGCAGGGCATCGAGGTGGCTTGGACGTAGCTGGACTGGGATAGAGTAGGGCAGCTTAGAAGGGCAAAATATGTAGCTTTGAAGATTTAGCTGGTTTTTTTCCCCCTGTAGACACCTGGCCGTGCTCCACCTCAGGTAATGACAACCTGCCTTCCTGCAACTCCTTCTGCCACGCACATGGTGATGTTTTTCATTACCCACTGTCTCACTGCTGCTCCTGTTCATGGTGGCATTGGCTGATTTCCAGAAAAACCCAGTAGGGTTTTTCTCCCGCTCCGGTTTCGGGGCCTTTTTTCCAAATCAACATTTCTGTATCAAACAGCCTCCTCCACTCATTTCGCCACCCGGGCACTGTGGCTTGCTTAAATCACCCCCGGAACTGACTTTTTCTGGGTATTTTATCAATAATATCCCAGAAAGTTCTTGTAAAGCTTGGTAATAGAGCTGTGACTTCATGCCCATGTCTTACAGCATAACCGTGTATAATCATGTTGTAGTCTTTATTCCCTTCTGACTGATTTTGAAGCTCTCTGAGCTAGGGATTGTATCGCCAGTTAAGGTGATTACTAGTAATTTGCTTTTCAGAGTTTTATTAAGTACAGCCTAGAAAATCTTTCTCTTTTTTTTCTTTCTTTCCTAGAGTTTAAAATTATTTTTAAAAGTCCAAAATTTGGCAAAGACAATGTGAGGAAAACTCACTTTCTAGAAACAATAAGGATTCTTTTTGGCAATAACAGCTTTCTGTATTTTTTTTTTTTTCCCCTTTGCAGCTGGAACTCATCTCCAGCCTCCGGGCAAAGCTGCAGAGCCTGTGGGAGGAAAGGGAGCTGGTGCTCTCCGAGGCCAGGGAGTGCGCCGAGCGAGGCAAGGAGCTGGAGGCCACGGTGCGGGACGTCTGCAAGCCCAACGAGTTTGAGCGCTACATGATGTTCATCGGGGACCTGGAGAAGGTGGTGAGCCTGCTGCTCTGCTTGTCCAGCCGCCTGGCCCGCGTCCAGAACGCCATGAGGAGGATCGATGGCAATACAGACGCCGAGGAGAAGGTGAGCGACGAGCACGCGGGGTATTTAATTTGTTTTCCTCACGTCTTTCCAGGTGGGGATGTGCTCCCCTCATTTGTCTGACAGCTCTAGACAGCAGCTGTGAATTGTACACGAATCCCAACGAGCTGTTGCCCAGGCAGTACCAGAGTAAACCTCGCGTGCGGACACATGCTCAGCGCTGGAGAAAGCGCAGCTGGGTGCTGGGGTGGCGGCAGCAGCAAAGCCCTGGGGGTCTGGGACCCCCAGGCTGCTCCCTGAGAAGTAGCTCCAAACCTGGGCTTCAGAGGGCTTTTTGTTGGGGTTTTTTTCCACTGGTAGTTTCAGTGAGGTAATTGCTGCCTTTGAAATCGTGTTTCACTTAATGGGCTTGTCTTAACTATAGCGAGCAGGAAGATGTGGTCGTAACTTGAGATAAAATTCCCTGTAGTTTAACTCAACGAGCCGGTTTTGCTGGAAAATTAGGAATTGTGTCACCAGGAAATCTTTTCAAGTCTGAAAAGTCTTTTTTTTGCTAGAGACAAGACAAATTTATCACAGGAATGATTCTTTCCTCCTGTCCTTCCTGCTTGTAGACGTGGTTTTATCAATACAATACCTGCTGTTATCTCTTATCTGGAAATTAGAAAAGCACAGCATTGGAGGATCTGGGATTTCCTGGAGCTGAGGGGCTGCCAACCTGTAGCTCTAGAGGTTTGTTGCTGCTCACACAGGGAAGGGCACCAAGAGAGCTGAGCCCTGCCCCGCACCGTGATACCGAGAATCAGGATCCACCCCCTCCAAAATGTCGGTGCTGTTAACGTGACTAATTCTGAGCAGTATTTCACAGTGCCTTGGCTCTGTGGTTGGCGGGGGGGCTGCTGTTTCTGAAGTGTTACGTTTATACTCTGCATAGTAAATACATTAAAATAATTTATTTAAGAATTTGAGTAACACGCTCTCAGTGAAGAGTTGCTTACGTGCCAGCACTTCTCCAGCCACCTCCCAGTCACTGCAAGTCCCCAGCGTGAGCAAAACCAGCCGCCGTGATCCTTGACTCCATTTTTGGGGTCTCGATGGTGACTGTTGTGCTGTGGTGTATTTGTGGACGCTGTCCTAAAACTGGACATTTTCCAGCAGTGCTTTCCCTGTGAAAATCATTACAGCTGAGAGAGAATTAGCTAAAATGTGAAAGGTGTTAAAATCCTGTAGAGCAGGCAAACCTTGATTCCTGTGGGTTTGTTAAAAAGAAACCCCTGATGAACGGTTTTGCTGTCTGCAGCAAAGTGACTTTATTGCAAAATTTTATTTACTTTAATAGAAGTCACGCCTCCTTTTGAATATGACGTTGGCACTCTGGCCACATACAACTCCAAAATACAAAGATACGTGCCTTAAAGAGCTTCTAATTGAATGAAGACGGATACAGGATACTTTAAAATTACCAGAATGTTAAGTATATTGATTTTTATTTTTTTTTCCTGAGGGCAGCATGGAAGAAGTGAGCCTTGATGGGGTTTACTGGGTGTCTTTACCTTACAAGCCACAAGAATGAGTAATTCAATCGAGAAAAATCTCATGTGGAACACAAAGCCCACAAGAGGAAGTAATTAAACTAAATCGACTGTGGCTTCCAAATGAAGATCTAGTGTCTGCCAGGGATGATGAGTTTTCATAGTGTGCTGCTTTGTTTTTTCATTCTATTAGCAATCGCTGAACGAACGGCACAAGCTCTTGTCTAGACAGCGGGAAGATGCAAAAGACCTGAAAGAGAATCTAGATCGTAGGGAGAGAGTGGTCTCTGGTATCCTTGCCAAATACCTGAGCGATCAGCGGCTCCAGGACTACCGACGCTTTGTTCAAGTCAAGACCTCCTTGCTGATCGAACAGAAGGACCTCGAAGAGCAGATTAAATTTTTCGAAGAACAATTAGAAAATCTTGAGAAAAGCATCCCCCTCTAGTCCCCGCCAACAGACCGTCCCTTTTCACACCTCCTGATTTGTGATGTTTCCCCGGAAATCCAGAGGCACTCACTGGGCTCGGTTCGGCGAGTCCTTGCCACCCTGGTAGTGCCACAGTATTGACAAGTGCTCAGATGCTCTGGGGATGCTCTAGGCACAGGCTGGACGTGCCCCCCCCTCCCTTGGACGGGCCAACCGACAGCAGCGCACAGTTTGTAGCAGACTGCATGTGGAAACGACTGATAGGATGTGTTACTCCTATTAACTTGGCGTGTATTTCCCCTCCTTGTTGTCTGTCCATCTGTTTCCAGATTGACATAATCCCAATAAAAGAACGATACAAATATTTTCCTCTTGTGGGTGGGTTGAATGTTTGAAATGAAAAATGATGTGGGTGTTCAAGTTTGAATGTGGAGATTGCACAAAGCCCTAAGAAACGTTACGGACCCTTTCAGTGAAGCTCCTTGTTTCTACTGTTTATATGTGTGATGCGGAAAAAATACACTGTAGTGGAAGAAAATCTTTCCTTCCTTTCTTGGCAGTTGCCATCCGTGAGTCCTTCCTGGCTCCGCGTAATCCCGGGAGTCGGTTCAGTAGGTCTTGGGAGGTCAGCAAACAGGGTGATCCCCCCTGACATCAAAAAGAGACCATCGGTGACAAAGCCAGCTTAAATGAATTTATCGTCTTGGGAATGATAAATTGAATTTGCTCCTGCACAGTCATTTGCAAAGTTCTCGCTGTGCTTTCAGAGTGTTTATTTTTCAAGCAGCGCCCTCAGGGGTTTGTTTTTAGGTGGTTTTCAATTGTCGATGTGCACAAGAAGTGCAGAAGGAGGCGGGAGAGCTCCGCTGCAGTGCGAGGTAGTTGGGACGAGGGGGGGGAAATTATTCAGTTTCAGTGAGGCTTTATATAAATCCCTTGGCAAAAATCTTTTGAACTAATGTGTATTGAGTCAAACCGGTGATGTTGCTGTGTTTAAAATTTGAGCGGTTTGTTTAAGTATTCAGTAAGAGGAATATTCTGTCTGAGCAACATACCTAGACCGTGAATAAGGCAGCTACTAATCGAACTCGGGTTTCTTCCAGAGGCAAAATAATTGTTCATTGTTCCATGATGTTGGGCTTCACCAATAAATGTTTTACTAGTGGTGTGTGTCCTGACTACAGTATCATCACCCCTGAGACAAACTGTCCTGGTGTTGAGGCATCTTCTCCTTTGGGATCGTGTGAGCTCTCACCGAACACACAACCACCCCGGATGGGGAACCGACACGGGTTTAAACTGATGCTTTGGGTTCGTTTTACCCCAGATCACATTCTCGATCTGACTTTACCCACTGGGCAACATGAATGAGCTGTGTCTGATCAGGTTACCGTACGCGTCCTGCACGAGCCGTGTTTAAGGGAGACTTGCCAACGCTCCTGCCTGCTCAAAGAGGGCAATGGCGAGGGTGCAGGGTGCTGCGCTTGCCCGGGAGCAAACCCAGTTACCCGACGGCGCAGTAAAGCACAAAGAGCTCGCCAGGCTCCGAGGTTGTCAGCTGCTCTGTATTTGTCTTCAGAATAACCGAGGGTATCATCAGGTGCTGTGCAGACTCCAACAAAGCAGCATTGTTGTGCTCAGAGCTTGCATGCTCATGCAGAGTGCCCGTATCCATAGCCCTGCTCACCTTTCAAGAGGAACAACGCGGTGCCCTGAGTAAGGCCCCGGAGGCTTGGTGTCAGAAGTCGGTTTTCTGGTGTGTACCAAGTAGCAGTAAATATATTTGCAGTAAAGTGTGCAAGAGGATGTTCTATAGCAGTGAGTAGTTTTGTGAATATTAACATTTTGTTCCAGTGATCTGAATGAAACACTGTGCTTAATGCCGAACACGCTGTTTGACTGGGCACCGGTGACTGCAGGAGTGCGGTGACCACGGTGCCGCCTGTTCTGTGGTTATTGTGGTAGGTCCTGTGAGGAGGTCTGCTCGGTGTTGTCCAAAGGCCATAAATACAGGCTTTTTGTATGCAAATCTGCAGGCTGCCTCTTGAAAATGGTCTTTAAAATAACAGAAGTGATGTTAACAGAACCAGTGGAGAATTTAAAAACTGTGAGCTCTGTTAAATGAGCTGTTGGCATTATTTGAGAAGCCTGATTGAAGGTGCACTTTATTGTTATTATTCCTAGTGGAGGAAAATCCACCTGGTTGGAAATAAATGTTTGATAATTGAAGCTAATGTTTGCCTTTAAGGGAAAGAATGGGTCTGCACTGTTTAGTTTCTCTCGCCTTTTTGATCTTGCGTCGCAGGGAGGATGATTGCTGCTCCTACCACCCTGGCCTTCGCAGGTGTGCTTCAAGGAGCAACAATTAGAAACGACTTTTGCTCTGTTTTCTAAAGAAGTCACACATCTGTGCTCCTTCTTACTTTGTTAGAACTCTGAATTTCAGGCGGAGTGTAACACGGATACAGCGATGACATCGAAACCTTTTTGCTGGCAAGGAGAAACCAAACCCCCCTTCGGAAGCACCAGCAGGTCTGGGTCGTCAGGTGGGTCTTGATTTTGGTATTCATCATTTGTTATCAGTTTATTGCCAGGGGCCAAGCCCGAGGTAATGGTGGTAGTTCACACCGGACCTTCATCGTGTGCAGCGTCCCTGACACGATGATGTACTAAGATGGGGAGTTTTAAAATCACAATCTGACGTGCAAATGCAAATGATGATTTAATCTGGTGCCAGAGGAACGGTGAGGAGAGCCCTGGGTACCTCTGAGGCTGGTGAGAGACTCTGGTTGCTCAAAATCTCAGCTGTTACCTGCAGAAGAGACCCTCGTGTCTCCTCACAGCGTGGGGTGGCACTGATGGTGGGTGCTGCCCAGGAGCTCCCTCCCAGAGGCCGATGAGATTTATTTCCTACCTGCAGGGGGACAGGGCCGCATCAGGCAGGCGGTGCCCACATCCTCCGGGTGAGCTTCTCGTCTTCCCGTTAGTTTACATTAGTCACTTTAAAATCTTTCTCCGAAGCAGAGCTGCAAACAGGTCTTCTCCCCAACCGCTGCCCGGAGCCCTGGAAAGCTCTTGGCTTTCAGGGAATTCAGGGCCTTGGCAATTCCCCAGCGCTGAGACCTGCCGAGCTGCTGCTTCTCCCGCAAACAGAGTCAGGTGTGTGCGTTGGGGGAACGTGAGGAATGCGGGAGCTCCCTGGTACCCGACCCTCTGGGGAGCGCAGCGGGCAGCGAGACGCTTGGGAGTCTCCTGTGGCAGCCTGGGAGCCTCGGGCTTCCTGAACCCCCCGGGAGAAGGTAACGGGACCCCACCGCCGGGAGAGCGCTGCTCCCCGCGAGCCGTCTGCGTCCGTTAATTACAGCTACAGCCAGGAGAGTGCCAAATCGTAGTGCTGAGGAGAAGGAAGGAGGTGGAACAGGCAATACGCAAGGGCTGAGAGCCCCCGCGTGGGGTGTGGGCTGCGGGGAGCCTGGTGGGATTCCAGGAACGGGCTCCAACTCATTTGGCCGTCCACGCACAAGCAGCGTGGGGGAAGAAGCTGCAGTAGCTTATGTTCTGCTAAGCAAAGGCAGGCGGGCTTGGTTTCAGGATCAAAAACCTTTAATCACCCAGAGCCGGAGAGGTGAGCGGCGTCACCGGTGCAGGGTAGAGCGAGCGGTCAGTGGAAGCCAGCAGTGCCTCGTGCCCATCCCGTGGCACCTTGGAAGCAATTACAGGGATTTTAGACACAGCAGCTCATTTGGAATTTGATTTAACACCCACTGCAACGTGTGGGAGTCACTGCTGCATCAGGAGCTGCTGTTTCAGTCTCTGAGGCACTAAATTGAAGGATTTTAATTTAGGGGTTGTTTTTTAGTCCTGGCCTTGTGTTCTTCCCTGGAACATCATGCTGTGGGACTTTTGCATGTGGGGCTAATTAAGGAATTGAGGGGTGCAGGGGTTCATGTAAATGTACTCTGCAAAAGATCTATTTGGGGCTTGAGAGAGCTACGTTTAATAAGTAGAAGGATGTTCTCTCTGCTTTGGGAATTCATGGCAACCATCTGAATAAAATTTTAAAAATAAACTCGGAGCAGCATAGCAAAGCTAATCTTCTACGCCTGAAGGGAGCCCACGTATACATTAAAGAATAATCAGGCTCTAGGAATCACGCAACCTCTGGGTTTCACAAAATGCACGGAAGAAGCAGCACATGAATTTCATTGCTAAATGAAGAGAGGCATTAAAGCTTATCAGACAGACTCTAAAATGTCACATAAGCCTTGGAGCTGAGTCATCTCGTAGATAAATCTATGGAGAAAAAATATGGGTTGAACTGATAGTCGTGGTTTAGAGAATGAGAAGCGCTTCTAAAAATGTGTCTGAACAGCCAGAGGCCTTTCTAACGACCTTCAGCCCATGGTACGAGAACAAGAACATCCCAAACCACCCCAAGGAGGAACCGCTGGTGAAACGATCCCTCCCGAGAGCGCCTGGTGGGACGGCGGGTGGCTCCAGCACCCCTTCCTGGGGTCCTGCTGCTCCCTCCCGAGCGCGAGGTCAGTGTCGCCCAACATCACAGCGGGAAGCACGAGCTGGTGGTAGGAGGAAAAAAGAGGCCCGAGTCATTCTCACCAACGGGCAAAAGGCTGTAACAGCACGAGAGGTGGACGGACAGAGAGGAGCGAGCTGGCCCGGCCCCGAGCTGACCTGAGCCTGGAGCGGAGCTGTCGTGCTTTGCTGCAAAGGGGGAAAACACCACAGGAGAGTGGTGGAAGAAAATACAACACAAAAACCACAGTGAGAAAGTCTGTTGGTACCACTGCAGCGCGCTGTCCTGACCGCGCTGGTGACTGTTAACGGCGTGGGTGAGAATAACCACAGCGCCTGGGGAGCGAGGGCCCAGCACCCCGATACCGCGACCTTGCGTCGAGGGCTCGAGCCTGTGGGCGCTGGTTTTACTGGGTGAAAAATGGAGGTTATTGGGGTTGTGTCAGCACTGAGACCCCCGTGCCTGCTGCGCTTCTCAGCTGGGGTCTCCTACCTCGTCCGGAGAGTCTCAAGGTGTTGGGGATGGAGGTGAAGGAAGGAAGCGGGATGAATTCCTCTTGGGAACTGGCTCTCAGATGAAGAAAAAAAATAATGCTCTACCTGGGGTAAACACTGAACAGAAATGCCTCCTGGGAAGGGAAAGCTGAACGTTGCCAGCATCAGTTCTTGTTGTGCACACGCACAGATTTTTCTTCACAGAAAGGGAAGAGGCTGCACTAAAGTTATGCTAATATTAACAGTACAGATCTATTTTGCCCGGCCTCAGAGGCAGATTAGTATTTTAAGATCAGAGCTTTTTTTTTTTTTGTCACAGTAATAATCAAAACGAATACTGAATGGACTGAGCTGAAGGGATTTTCTGGCAGTTCACTCCAGAAGGACAGGGAGGTGACCCGCCACTGTCACTCAAGGATCAGCAGGTGCTGCTGGTTGGGCTCAGGGCGGTCGCTGCTGTCCAACCAACGCAGCAATCCTCCTGCCGTGGCTCTGCCAGCTGGTTTGGGGTTTCTTCAGCTTTAACATCCAGTGAGGGAAGACGAGATGGGAGGTAGGAAGGGGGAAGCATCACTTTGCCTGTAGCTTTTCCTGTCTGGGGATAAAAAAAATAGTTCCTGGGCGCTACACCCTTTTTTTCCTGGCTGTGGCCAAACATTACGACATTGCCTGTGGTCAGTGACAGAAGCTGAGCTCAGTACAAGTGCTGGATGTGCTTCGTGATTTGCTTTGTCTCATAAATTAGTGAAATAAGCCTTGGAACTGGAATAGGAAATTAATGTTCCTCATTACGACGCAGAGCTTTTGATCTGTGTTGTCCTGTTCTCCCTCTGCAGCAAACAAACACCCCACTGTCTGTGGCCACGCTACACGCCAGCCAAGTCCCTGTGAACAACCTCTCCGTGCGGGGAGTCCCACATTAGGACAAATCACTCGGAAAGAGTAAAAACTGCCTTGTTGCCATTTTTCTCAGATTAACATGCAAATCGGGAGGCAAATGCGTCCCAGGAATGTAGGTCATGGTGGTGGAAACGTGCGGAGCAGGAGAAGGGACACGCGATGGGGAGTTGGGGACGTCCTGAAAGGCCGCCGCTGCCTTCAACGGGTGGATGGAACTCCCGCTCGGAGTCAGTCAGGGACTCTTCCACCAGAGCTTAGTTTTGTGATGAAGCCGAAATCTCGCCAACACTCCTCTGCAGGGGGGGAGTGGCATTTCCTGGGGCTTTTGCAGAGCGCTCACGAGGGGATGGAGACGACCAAAAGACTCTTATTTGAGCCGGAGCACGACCCCGTTGCCTCACGCTGCTCAAACAGCCCCCGCCGGGAGGGCAAAGTCCGTGCCAGTCGCGGCTTAAAGCTTGTTTGCAAACCTCTTCAGTGCAGGTTTCTGAGCTGGTATTCCTCAGAACAGAATGTGCCGAGGAACAAATGAAGCTGGTTATCTTTCAAAGGCGGGCCGGGCCAGGGTCAGACAAACATTAGCTTTATTGATCTCTGGTGCTGCTAAACAAAAAATCTGAGCCACTTGTATTTGCGTAGGCGCTCCACTGAATGCACAGCGTCCACAGGCTGTGGGTGACGCTGCTCGTGCTGCCTACGGGGCTACAAAAATGATCTTGATTTCGATTTGGAGTATCAGTACTAACTGTGTGCTTTAAAGAAGTGACCGAGGCGATTATCTCCGGTTTACAGCAGGAAAACTGAGATAGGGGGAGTAGGCAGGCGAGTAACCATGGCAAAATCCAACCCCGAGCTCCCAGATCCTGGTTCTGCACCTTCCACCTCCAGCCTTCCCCCACCACGTAAGCCATCTCACCGGGGCAGGAGCAGAGCCCAGCAGGGTTTATGATCTTTATCCTCTCCTGCTCTCAGCTTTGATGGTGTGGCAGGCAGCTGCCGGCTCTGGGCTGGGCCAGAGGTTCAAAGGGCTGCTTGCCCGGCCCATGGCACGCACTGCTGCGTGGCCTCTGCCCCAGGCCAGTGTTGGCGGGCGGGTAAAACTCCACAGCTGTCATTTGTTCACCTGGAAATCCTGCTGTGTCCAGGCAGATGTGGCTGAGATTAAGGGAGAGAGTGAAATTAAGGAGAATCTGTCAAGATGAGGGACTCGTGAAACAGTCCCAGCCTGAGTTTCTGCCAGGAAAACACTGCCGTGATCATCCTGCAACGGCAGCACAGGGAACCAAAACCCAGAAAGGCCGACGGACTGGTTTTACTTCAAACTGAGGGCGATATATATATATTTTTGTAAGATTACAGCGGGGCATTCTCAATACCTCTCAGTGTTTGTTTGCACCTGAAGTCATACGGCACCGAGCGTACTAATCACAGCCTGCCTAAATACTATCTTTGCCTTAATCTGCTCAACAAGGAGGAGGAACGAGCTGAGTCACTGCACAAACTTGTTGGCAGAGCCCGGCCCACCCCACCCACAGCACCTTCGCTTGTCGCAACCCTCCGGCCGAGCCTGCGAGCAGCTCCCCGGGAACGCCGCGAGGAGCAGGGCTCAGTCCTTGTTGCGGGGCATTTTTCTATCACACTAGCTCATCGCTGTGATGCCTCCCAGGAAGGAGTAGCACAGAATTTCCTTGATGGTACATGTTGTAATGAAGTCTTATCTCGGCTGTGACTTCTTGCTTTTCCTTGGACGCAACAATAGGAGCAAGGAAACCTTCTCCTGCTTCCCTTAGGGTGAAGTCACAGCCACGCTTTACAGGTTGGGCGCTTGGTTTCTTTAAACAGAAAACACTCCATCCTTGAACCTTGCCTCCGACTCAAGTAGGTTTTACTCAGAACTAGCAGTAAAACATTCAGCTATGTTATTTGAACAGGTATCAAGCTAACAGCCATAACTAACAAACTTCCCCATAAGGCCGAGTCAAACTGGGGAGTGTTTCCAACTCACACGGAAACAGGATGCTTGTACCCAGCAGCATCAGTGCTGGCAGGGCCTCAGACACAACACGAACACACACGCGTGCTTCTGCAGTCTCAGTAAATACAGAGAAAAAGCGTTTGGTGTCAGTAAAGGCGGAAAGCCTTTTTAAAACAGAGTGTCAGACTTACTGTTTTCCTGGGCCTCTGCGTGCTGACGCAGTGCAGCACAAAGGGAGGTGTCGAATGGCCACGCTGGTCAATGGTCACACCGACAGCATTAGAGCAAATAGGATTTTATTTTTTTTTTAAAGCCCTACTCCAGATAGAGAAGTCATGAGGTGCTTGATCATTAACATTTGCTTAATAACTTAATGAGTTCGATACAGAAGCAGACCAGTGCAGAATAATCCAGTCTGTTCTGAGAACAGGTGGATCAGACCCCTCTGCGACTGCTGATTACGCTCACAACGAATGTCACCAGCTCCAGGGACTTCGGGGAGAAGTTTGTAAGTAAAAGAGGGCAGTGCCTCCGCCTTCCCCACAGTCCTACCGCATTCCTTGCCCAGCGTTTGGGAGAAGCCAATTACAGCCAATTAGAAGTACTAGGCTTCGTTCAAGGCCGAACAAAACACTCCTGAAGTCACTGACTCGGAAAGAAAGGTAAAGCATGCAAACAAGTGTTTCAGTACGGAAACCGAAACACCTGACGGGGCTGAAAAGCAGAGCAAGGGCAGTATTGCCATCACCTTCATCACCCCTGAATTGTACCGCTTTGTGAGGTACAGTCTGAGGGAAGAAGTGACGGTTTAGCAGACTGGCCTCAGGAGTCAGGCAGTTTCTGCTCTTAGCTCTGCCAAATCTTTGCATTAACCCAACAGTAATTAAAAAAATAATAATCTCACTGCAAATGTATCACTTAACCTGCAGTTAGCATGCTTGTTGGAGCTACATGTAGTTCTATATAGAGAACAACTTTGTTTAGAATGTAAAAGAAGAAGAGTAGTTAGTTTTAGGTCAAGGATCCATGCTGTTGAGATCAACATTGCTTTAAGAGGTCATGCAGACATTCTATCATGAAACACTTAACATAACATAAAGCCCAATTTCATAAATATTTATTGTAAATAGGTCAAAATCAAAGGCCAAGTTTTAAATAAACAGAATCAGATATACAAACCTAACTTTGCTTCCAGTTGGCTACTCGGAAACTCTGCAGGGTCCCATTCCCGTTTTTTCAGTTCAGGTTTTCACTATCAAATACCAACAAGTTTTTTATTCAGATTAAGTGATTGAACTATAGTCAAGTTTAAATGTTCACAGTATCATCAAGACACGTGGTTAGTACCACCTGGTCAAAAAGTCTTTCAGGAAGAGAGAAAAAAAAAATAAAATTCTAACCTAGCTTTCAAACTGAGGTAGACAGGTCATGGTGATTTGAGTGCTGAGGGTTGGGTTTTTGTTGTTTTAAAACTGTTTTAAAATGTGTTAGGCAACAATTGAGATTGTTATGTTAGTATTTCTGATAGTAAGAAACTTTGTTATGAAAAAGTACACCGTTTTTCTTAAATAGAAATATTCCTCTTCTGTTACCAAAATAATCAGAAACATCATAGAAAACTAGTCGTCTTTCCTCTAATAATTTAAGCCTGCTATATAACAAGCCATGTTAAAGTAGCCAGCTACCAGCTTGCTGTTCACAGTGTAGAATATGCAATTCTTTACCTTACTTCTGCTCTCCAGCCGAGGAACACTAATTGAGAAGGCTGTACCTTAAGCATTTTAACCTGTCTACACACACACAGAGGTTCAGTTTTTCAACCGTTAAGTCTAAAGTTGGTGGTCTCCATCGATACACCGGCACGACAGTACATACAGCGACTGTAACGCTCCCCACAGGCGGCTGTGAGCCGCGTTTCACCCAGTGGCCTTTGGAGCCAGACCCTACCACCCATTTAGTCAAACATCCAGACAGACAGACACGGAGAGAAGAAATCCAAGCCGCTCCTGTGAGAGAAATATCGAGACCCTCAGTCACATTATTAAACAATTTTCATCCCGAGAAGGCAGAGGCTAGTGGCCAAAGAACAGCTCGGAAACGGGTCTGCGTTTCACGATGACCTCCTCTTCCTCCTCCTCCATTACTTCGGAGAGGGAAGAATATGAAGGGAAGCCCCCTCTGGTCTTTGGCTTCCTCCTCGGGCCTGTAGTGGCTGCCAGGAGCTTGTTTAAGGATGAGGGCTTCCTCAGCCCTTTGGTGAGGTCGTAGAAAGCCATGTCATCGGATATGACCCCCAGGAAAGTGCTAGTGGAGCTCAAGATTGAAGCCGCGAGCTTCGTGCTCTTCTTGATGGGCACGGAGGGCTCCATGCTGTGGGAGAGGCTGGGGTCCCCCAGCAAGCGCCTGACCGTCGAGGAGGCCCCTTCCTTCAAGTACTGGTGCGGCTTCTTCCCGCTGTAGTCCCTCAGGTCGGTCTTGGCGTGGTAGCTGTACACCAGCATGGTGATGACCTTCTCCTGGCCGTGTATGGCGGCCAAGTGAAGCGCCGTGTAGCCGCCGTGCGACCTGGCATCCACGTTGACGCGGGCGCCCCCCTTCTCGGCCGCCCTGATGATATTGGTCACCATGTCGCAGTTGCCGCTCTTGGCGGCCCAGTGCAGGGCGGTGAAGCCCGAGATGAAATCCCTGCGGGCCGCCAAGCTGGCGTCGCCCAGCAGCAGCCCGTGGAGCTGCTGCGTCCACTGCCCGCCGGCCGCCATCACCAGCCACTGGTGCTCGGCCTCCTCCAGCGGCACCGCCGCCGTCTCCTCGCTCGCACGATGGTTCTTGGGCCCCCGCCGCAGGCCGGGAGAGCGGGACCCGGCCTCCTCCTCCGTCGGGGGCGAC